TAAAAAATAAAATCTTACTGGTAAAATCTAAGAAAACATTAATAATAATTAATTATTTTATTAAATATTCAGCACAAACTTATCAATTCCACTGTTGTTTGCAAAATGATGCCACCAATGTCCAAATTATATTTCGCATATTTCAGTGAGGTTTTTGCGGCTCAACACAATAATTTGCATAGCGTGTTTGGACGCATTTATCGTTCTAAATCGCTTCCACATTTCCTATTAAAATAAACGAATCAAAAAATTATAACTCGTTCGACGTAAGCAAGACTGGGAGGGAGCCGTTATTGCCCCTGGCAAAAAACATGAGAAAGTAAACAAATCCTACAATTGATTTATTTGAGAAAATACCACATGAAAGGCAAAGATTAAGCTTGATCGAAATACAACAAAAAAGTTTAGCCGCAAAACTGAAAACCGACATGGCTCGAAGGGAAGAGGAAATCTGTGCCTAGAATAGGTCAATTGAAACGGAATAAGTTTTATTTGCGGCCAGAAGGAGAGAGAGCGTTGAATTGGAAAAACCACAACTAAAACAAATGGATGGAAACTTTTGGGGGAAATTCGCAAAAATGGTAATTGGTCAAAAACAAAGGGCAAACTTTGCCTTCGCCAAGCGTTTGAATTGTGAGAAAAACAAAGGTAAACTCAAGCAGGAAGTCGGAGAGAACGTAGGCTTCTGTTTATTCAAATTAAATCATAATTTTCATAGAAATCTTATTAAGCTTTGCTATAATCTTGTATTTGAACAAGAAATAGTTTAACATTTATTATAATATTTTATTGTGTAGCTGGGCGATATGAGCAAATGATGCATTGCAAGGCAATGACCCTTTCCTCTTGCTCGGAAAGGAGATCCTCGGCTAGAGAAGACAATGGCAGATGCGGCTCCGGACCGGAGGCTCTGGATCTGACGAGGGCTTGGCTCTGGCCCAGGCCCTCCTCGATCCACTGGGGGAAGAGCGGCGGCCCCCGGCCAGGCTAACTTATTGCTATCGCACAATCTGTGGCAACTAATAGGAAGTTGGAGCTGGAAAAAGAGCTCCACCAGCTGGAGCCCTGGGCCAGACTGGGGCCGACTTCTTGGCCTTAGCACACACAACTATTGTGAAAGCCAGGGCCGGCCAGCAATTATCTAAGCCTGCCATTGTTTGGGCCTGACTTTGACTAATTTGCAAAAAAGCCACTAAGGAGCCCCCATTCCCTGCCTGTCATCTGTCATCCCATCCAGCTGGGAGCTGGAGATCCCAGTGAGGCCAGTGGAGCCACTAGTGCCGCAAGGATACGTAAATCTTGACAAGCGGCGGCAATAAATTCTAATGAGCAAATCGCTAAAGGAAGTTCTGGCTTCCCCCAGCCCAGGATGCTGTTGTCGTAGGCAGATTTATGTGGCAGCCAGTTGCAGATCTGGCAAAGTGGGAGCTCCGAGCAGCAGCGGCAGCTGTAAATGCCATTTGTCCAATTAGTCAGCGAACAGAACTCTATACTCGGCATCCATGCAACTTGTTAAATTTAGCGCATTACAATAGATCTATAAATTTTCGCCTCGCCGATCGGTAATCTCCAACGGCGTCGGCGGGTCTTCGATGACATCAGCCATCAGGGCAGTGCGAGTCAAGCAGATTGAAAAGCCACAAACTTAAAAATATGATTATTTACTTATATATAAAACTCGTTGCCGGCCAATAAGACGATGTGAACCTAAAAAAAAGGAGAATATAGGGGTTGAGGGTATACATTTACCAGTTAAGAACGAATTAAGTCATTGAAAGAATAATTAATTAATTTTATATTTGAAACATTGGTTTAAATTAGAGGACATATTTGACAAAAAAATGTTTCAGTTAACAAAAAATTTAACAAAGTTAACTTGAATGTTAATTATAATGATATATAATGAAAAATCTTATTTTCTATATTTTAAATATATATTTAATTATGTATTTATAATTGTGATAATGTTAAGAGGCCTTTTTGTTTGTTTTCGTAATTTGTCCCATTTCCTTACCATTACCTTTTCGTTTATTAAATAACAGGGCACACAACTATTCGTATACCTTCTTAATAATGATTATTTCACTTTGTTTTGATTTCCATTTGTTATATTATTCTTTTTGCCAATTAATTTTGTAGCTTTTGCCTTTGCATTGGGCACCTAAGCGAAGCAAAAAATATACTAGAATAAGATAAGCATATATGAAGTACTTCCAATCAACAGAACCCAAACAAAGGCAGATAAAAGAATTTGTAGAATAAAATCAAAGTGAAAAGCCACCGCAATCGAATTGAAACGCTCTTTCGGTTGAGTAAATAAATGTAACAAAAAACTAATTTAATTAATTGTGATGATAATCGCTGTATTGGGGGCATTGCATTGCGTCACTTTGTAAATCTGTCATTCACACGACCGGACAATATTTAAATTCAAAGCCAATCAAATGGGCTCACTTCGATTCAAACGCTTGGCTGGGCCGGGAAATTTTGCATTATCCATTTACAAATTGCTCACGTTGGCCAAATATTTGAGCCACGTTGACACTTACGCATCTCTAGATGTTTGCAGAAACCATTTGCACAAGTCCTTCCCGCATCTTTGAAGTTTCTTTAAGTTCAATTAGCACCGCTGTCCGTCGGATTTTGCGGTCAGCTGAGGGTCAATCAACTATGATTGATGTGAAAGCAAAAGTGTTAGTCACCGATATCGGCAAACTAAAACAAGGTCAGACAATATGGCTCTTTGTTCCTCTACTTGTAGATTGTTAGCGGCCTTTGATCCAATCTAAATGAGTGGATATTAAGGACCGCAAGTCTGTGTTACTATTACTTGTAATCTAACCCCACGTTAGATATCAATCCAGCCGTGAAGATAAGCATGTGTCATGCAGTCATTAGCGATTATAAATCACCGTCATTACTACATATATATATTTTTAATAGTTGGAGTTATAAATTACCCATGCCTCTTTGGCGCTCGCCCCTCCATTAAAATTCCCATTTAATTTGACCTACCATTTTTGGTCGCATAAATGTGATAAATTAATGAAAATTAATTTTGAATCGTTAATTATTTATTTTCTTTGAGCTGGCTGTCAATAATTCGATGGTATTTATTTGTTTTGCTAACCATATTTGATTTTCTGTAAATTTGCCCTGCGTTTTTAAATTTTCTCCTCGTCGATTTTTATGCTCGCCGCCCTAACTGTGTCAATAGCCACATTTATGTGTTTGCCAAAAATCATTTTGATTAAAAAACATGTCATGCTTCGCTCAAGTAAAGGAAAAAAAACCCGACATCGGATTCCAAATCAAAAAAAACGACATAAAATTTGCATAGAGCTGTGAATGAATGAATGAGTTTGAATATGAGAGTCAAAGACGAGGCGAAATATAAATAAATCATAAAAGCGAGCCGGAATGGGTATAGTTTCTGGCCAGAGAGCGTGCTGTTGATGTTTGCTTTGATTTTAATTGCCCGATGGCTTATATAAAGAGGCGTTTATAAATACCACCGACTAGAGCACGCATTTGACACATAATTTGAATGTGAATCGCCGGTCCGTCTTTGGGCAAACAATGACGGACCAAGTTGGTCTAGAAAGTTTTGTTTTCCTCTGCCTAAATGCTGAATCAACATGCGGAAGCTTGACCTGAGTCAAAATTTGCCAGGGAAAAATATGGAAGTGGAGAGCTCTCTTTTTGATAAGAAATCGTGACTCGCGAGACAGCATGGCACTTTGGGAAAATATTTTTTGTATTTAATGCTCTCAAGTGGCGGCGAGTCATTTAACTTGGAAATGATGGAAGCAAGTCTATATTATAAGGTTTATAGTCGTGCCTCATGTTTGTTCTGTGAAATGCAGTAATAGATTATTCCTAGGCAAGTGATGTATGTTTGTTTATGGATTCCTGGAAGAGTCATTGGCCTGCTCAATACCTAAATTTAGCAAACGGTTTCTTTGTCTGCTAAGCCCCCAGGACATGCGATTAGTTTTGCCGAGGGTGTGTCTCGGCCTAAAGGGAGTAGAAGCCAGACAAAAAGCCAGCTTGCTTTTTCAGCTAATGCCGGGGCGTGTCCAAAGGGGCGTATGTGTAATCTTCCACCCGGATGACAGACAGTATTTTTCTTCATTTTTTTTTTGCCTTTGGTTTGTTTACTTTTTTCACACATTAAGCCAGTCAGACGGCCAGCCAGTGGTCGACACAGATAATTCCATGTTGCCCGGTAATTGTTCTGTAAATGCAGAAATAATTACTTTCAATGCGCCAATAAAACAACGGCTGCGACCGCCGTCAATCAGCGGATTCGAGCAGCAGGAGCTTGATCAATCAGCGGCTGGAAAACTGAAAACCGAAAGCAGAGAAAAGTAGGTGACCAGCCGGCGACGACGCGTCATCTTGGTCTCACTCTTGGCCACTCGCTAAGTCTTGGCCAGCAATCAAGAGTCGGCCTCAATGCGCGCCTAAACGAAATCGTCTGCGGACTTTCAATGCAGCATCGTCCGTCAATGCACTGAAAAAAAAATGTTACTCGTAAAATACTAAGGATATTTATATGTAGACAATATGTTTATATATTATATTTACCAAATCACAAAGCATACTTTATATCTTTGCTGTTAGTAAATTTTTAATGAGTCCAGTGGTGCTTATACTTTGTAACTCGTGTCTCTCAGCTTTTCCCAATTTTGGCATTAATATCAAGTTTACAAATGATCTTATAGGTTATCTACAATAATATCCCCATTTGTTTTCAATGCATCAAAAACGTTCTACGCTGCAGCAGCACATGAACCTCTCGAAGTGCAACTGCAACCTCAAACTCCATCGGCATCGCCGGCTCCATCGGCTTCTTTCTCTTTTCCTGAGATCCGAGACCATAAACAACTTTTACTGCGTAGTGCGGTAGTGGCGGGATGACCGTTGCCATTTACTTTTAGCCAGACTTTAATTATAATTGCCGGCGAAACTAAGCTTCTCCTTTTCCCTCGTTGCAGATCGATGATGCGGCCATTCAAGTGTACAAGGATGGCGACTACGGTGCCTATCTGGATCTGGAGTCATCTCTGGCCGAGCAGACGGAGGAGATCGAGGGTCTCAATGCCAGGTGAGTGCTCACAACGATCTAGGGGGCGGAAGGAGGGAGCTCCCACAGCTGACCCAAAACGCCGGCTAATGAGCCTGGACAGAAACGAATTGTCAAAAGCCCACATTGATTGTGGCTGTACCCACCTGGTGCACTGCACCCACTCGCGGGGATTTGTCAGAGGTTTTTCTATTTATGCTGCCTTGCCTTGAACCCATTTCCCGCTGGCTAAAAGCTATCCATTTCCTGGCACAATTGAATGCCCTTTTTAAACAGTTTTTATATTATTTAAGTAAAAAAATCCCGCATTCTTTTGCGTATCAGTTGATTAGGTTTTATATTAGCTTAGACTTTGTATAAAAAAAGACTTTCACTGCCATCACTTCTGACTTTTGCTGGTTTATCTTACAAATTATTTGTATTGCCTGGAGCTAACTGCTCTTCGCAGTCACCGGCTAGGAGAGCTGATCAGGAAACCGATCTGAACCGGACCACGTAAACAGTCGATCCCCTCTGGGTTACTGGGGCAGCTGATCGTGGGTGGCTCTGTCAGCCTTTCACCGAAATGCAACATATTACACATACGCCATGGCGGACCGCCGACATCGCCATCGCTCGCTAATAAAGTTATTTGGCGGAGGCCATAAAAAAAAAACTGTCGCTATCTGTGGCACAGGAAACGGAGTACGTCTATTTGCAGCCTACCTGGTTAGTTGGTTAGCTGCTTACCTGCCTGCCATTCTGGCACTCTGCCTCTCCACCGACTGAGACTGTCCGAGAGACATTTGCATGCCACGACATTGCAGTGGTACGTGCAACTTGTTGCTGACTTTGCCGCAGCCAGCAGTTAATTTGCATTTAATCCGCGGCAAGGAGGCAGGGACTGGGACTGCAGCAGACTGACACAAAAGACAAAATAAAAACGCTCGCCACGTCAGTTTTGAGTCGTTGTCGCAGCTCTGTAGTTGTTATATTTACATTTCTTGTGGGCATTTCTCATAACTGGCATGCATGTTATTTATGCACAAGTACATTTTCAAATACCCCTTAAATGAAGAGGGTTTCTTAAGGAAGATTAAAAAGTTCTCCGTTTTCTATAGACAATTTAAAACTTACTACACCAGGATTTTGGCTAGAAAAGGACATTAAACTGAGGTAAAAACGTATCAATCCAAACGAAGTTGTTTTATATTTTCAGGCGTAAGCCTCTTTAGTACTCCTTAATCCCTTCTTGAGGTATTTCCCAGTCGAATTTAGCTCCGGCTTCTCTAGTTCTTAGTTTTCCTTCTTTATTTTATTCGCGATCAGGCTACGGAACGTGATGTCATGACAAAGGCAGGCGCTAAGGCAGCCTCACAAAAAACTGCAAAAGTCGAGAGGCACAAAGAAAAATGATGTACGCGACGGGGCACAAGTGTCAAAGTAACAGCACAAAAAATAAAGAAGATGTTGGCAGCAGCAACTTGGCCATAACCATAACCGTACCAGGGGCAGTGGTTCAAAGTCAACGATCTGGAGTTGGCTAACCTTCTGCCGCAGGGAGAAGAGCAAGAGCAGGAGAAGAACGCATAGATTGATAGATTCCTGGTCTATTTCTGACTTTCACTTCTGCACCGCATCTCCGTGATCATCAGTCATTAAGGGGCGGAGCTCCATCTAAGCCATATCTGCGCGCTCTGTGAAATTATAACGTGAATGTCGCCGCGTCTGCGCAAATTGCCGCCACTTTGCGCCGCAGCTCGTCCCCACTCTATTTACGAGTGTTGTGGCGCCAATGGGAGTGGATCGGAGTGAGGTGGAGTTGGGTTGTTCCTTGGACCAAGAGTGCCGGCGCAGCCCGATGGCCACTAATCATGCTTATCGCATTAGTCATGGCAGCCCGAGCTCGCATGCAAATCATGCGCTTCAATTCGCATCAAAATTCCGCAAAAGTTGCCCGTCGCTGTCAATCTGCACACAGGAAGAAATTAATGGTTAAACCATTAATTAAACGGTTGATAATTAAGGAGTTGGTGGTGTTAAAGCTATGACTACTTGGCAAGTTGTAAGAGATTAAAGACAGTATTAAGATCACAGGAAATGTTCCAGGTTTTCAAAGTAACTCAATTGGAAACGTATATTTCTTCAAGAAGTTTTAAGATATTTTCTTGCTAGACCACCTAGACTTTATCTCTTATACAAATTCCTCTAATTTAGCCTCATTACTTTTGGAAAAACCTCCAAAAATAAAAGGTATAATTGCCCGCTGGGCTTTGAACCAGAAACCCACTGCACCAGAGGCGAATGCTCAGTCACTAGGCCAGCGGACCAATTTTTGTAGATGTGGGTAATTAATTTATGTAATTTATCATAACTCTTTCTCTAAGGTGATTTTTTCTTTTTCTAAAATATAATAAAATTGCTTTCATTAGCTTTTTAGTGAATTTGTCAATTATTATCTGCATTTTTTTCTCTGCAATAAGGGAGACATGTTACCGTCACAGGTGTGTCTGCGGAGACTTCGTCTTCGACTCCAGCTCAGACACTCACCTTTATTGTGCGGACTCTGTCTATATGTGAGTCCATCTCGGAGTCTCGGCCCATGTCCGCCGCCTCATAGTCCATTTTCAATTATCTGCGTCGTTTGTTATTACTTTTATTATGACCAGCTGTGGTGCCGGGGTGAAGCAAAGCGCGCACCAGCGGGTAATCAATGTTCTTAGCTGGTCAATGAACTGGCCAGGGGAATGGGAATGGGCCAGGCTTCGAGGTGCCAGCAGTTCCCCATTGTGGCTTACTCTTGGCTTGTTTTGGCATTCCACCATAAAAGAGCAAGGCAAGTGTCGTTTCATAATGAAATGTATCACAGATCTGACATAATAAAATAAAGATTTTTTTGAATTTAAACCCTGTTTTTAGAAGAAATAATTAGGTAAATCAGGAAATCATTTTAACGAGAAAAATATCATTAACGTTTTGTTTAAATAACACATATTACTCTTTTTTGATTATATTATTATCAGCAATACAAAAATTGCGTTTTTTGTGTATTAAAATTACATTTGAATCGTTTCTGTCTTGCTTTTGAGCCTTCCTCTTTTTTATAAGTAATATTAAATATCTAAATATTAAAATATTAATTTATTTACTTCTTCACAGCCGTAAGAACTCTCTGGTGGTGCGAACGCAGCTGAATGTGCGCGTGCATGCGATTATCGGTGAGTTTAATTCAGCAATTATTGTGCATACGCAGCGTGTGACCAACGGGGAATCCTTTTGCCCTTGCAGAGAAACTCCTCTCCTCCGAGGGCAGCGACCTGCGGCGGGCCCTCTTCTCGCTGAAGCAGGTGTTCCAGGAGGATAAGGATCTGGTGCACGCCTTCGTGGCCCTCGGCGGCCTCAATTGCCTGGTACGCGTGGGCAATTGCGCGGACCAGAACTATCAGAACTACATTCTGCGGGCCCTCGGTCAGGTAGGTCCCATCCCAGTTGAGATTCCAATCGACGACGTCGACTAATCATGTCATTCGATGCGGCGGCGGCAGGTCATGCTCTATGTGGACGGGATGAACGGCGTGATGAAGCATGAGCCGACGATGCAGTGGCTCTACTCACTGATTGCCTCCAATTACCGGTCCGTGGTGAAGACCGCCCTCAAGCTCTTGCTGGTCTTCGTGGAGTATGCCGAGTCCAACTGCTATGTGCTGGTCAGTGCCATTCACGCGGTGGATGCCTCCCAGGGCACTCTGCCCTGGTCGAACATAATGAGGTAACTATCGTCCGACCACTGCCTACTTTCGGGCTAGCTGCGGATTAGAGATGGACCAAGAGTAAGCGATTCCGTTGTTTGCCTTTCAGACTGCTTAAGGACTATGATAATGCCGATGCCGAGCTGGTCATCTATGCCACTTCGCTGATCAACAAAACCCTGGCTGGCCTCAACGACCAGGACAGCTTCTATGACGAGAGCGATCTCCTTGAGCAGCAGGGCATGGAGACTGTGATACAGCGATACATGTCGAAGCCCGGCACCGATCTGGATCTGCTCGATCAGCTGCAACTCTACGAGGCTGTGCTGAAGTGAGTTATAGTCTTTATATGTAAATATTTCTAATTTATAAAAATACTACCATCATTTCTCCCAGATTCGAGGATGGTGAGTCTGATGGCCAGCGTCTGCCCCAGAACTCAATGCGGAAGACGCAGCGCTATAGGCCCGGAGCAAACACCACGGAGAGGCGCAAGTCCCGGCGCCACAGCACTGACAACAGCCCCGCGCCGCTCGCCAAGGTCCTGCCCACCACAGTGCTCCGGATGACCCCGACCCAGGCCACCCTGGACGAGGACAGCTCCGGTTCCGGCAACTCCACGGAGTTCAGTGGCGGTCTGTTTAACGAAAAGAAACGTAGGCCCTTGAATTGAAATGTACAATTTGATGGAAACATAATAATCCTATAATCCCTTAGCTCGCGATGGAGCAGGAGTGACGCCGGGACTCCGCAGAAGACGAGAGCGTGCGGAGCGGCACAAGAGCTTCCTCAAGGAGCAGCAGGAGGCGGCGGCCAATGGCATCTTTGCCGCTCTGGAGCAGCGCGAGGGTCTGGGTAAGTTCTAGGCTAAGGATATGGCTGCTCCTCACCAGCTGCTAACTAACTAACGTGTGATTCTCTCTCCCCGAAAACAAAAACGCTAATCACTGTGTGTATTGTTGTCCCGCTGTTCACCCGCTGATCATGCTAACCATTACCACACAAAATACCACCACACCATCCATGCTGATGCGCCATAAAAAAGGCCAAATCGTAACCGCTATTCCCGCAACCGTCCAAGGCGGCGATAGTCCGCCAGAGTCGCTGCAACACGAGTCCTGCAACAATGTCAGTGGCAACCTGGGAAACAACAACCTAAGCAACATCAGTAGCAACGAGACGCCGAACAACAGCCTGCTGCTGATGAGCCCCAGCAAACAGCTCCTGACCGGCAGCCACAGCATCTCCATCATCAACAACAGCTTCGACAAGGCCAACAACCACAACAACAGCCAGAGCGAGTTCCTCACCAAGAAGAACCTCTTCCGGGAGCGCAACTCCACGGTTATCAGTGGTATCATGAAGAACATCCAGCAGACGGACAGTGCCTACAAGAAGTACGAGAACGAGGCCAATCGGCTTAACAACTACTACAGCCAGTCGCCAAAGCACCAGATTCTGGGGAAGGACCAGCCACCGCCGGAGGTGCTGCTGAGTCCCAAGAAGACCCTGAATGCCTCGGGATTCGATTTCATCCCGGAACCGTTGAGTTCCACGCCCATCAAGTGTGATACATTGCCCGAACCGGAGCCCCTGAGTCCGGTCCGAAAGCCCGTGGGGGCGCCTCCACCACCACCTCCTCCGCCGCCGCCGCCGCCACCTCCACCTGGCTGGTGGCATGCTCCCATCTACAACAGCCCGCCGCCGCCGCCAGCCCGAACCCTAACCAGTACTAACCCCGAGCTGCTGCCGCGTCCCGTGGATCCGTCAGGTGGGTCTAGCCACTCCTAACTCTCTCTCTCTCTCCCTCTCACCTGCCTCACCTGTGTGTATATTCTCACCTGTGTTGCATACTCTCAAGCGCCGCCAGGTCAACCACATTGCATTGCGTCTGCGCCGCTGCATACTTTTGAGTGCCGTTTCAAAAAAGAATTTAGAATTAAATGTAAAGTTTCTATCCAATCCCTCAGATCTGGAGAGCGAGGACAAGCAGCTGCTGCTTCAGCTGAAGCGGGACCACACGGTCAAGGATCTCACCCAGAAACTGAGCAACCTGCCCACGAGTCCCACGCAGGAGTCGGCCAACCGAGCCATCGTCGGCGACATGTCCGGCCTCATATCGAAAGCCAAAGAGGGTCTGGCCAAGAGCAAGAGCAAGGGCGAGATATCCAGGTGAGTTGAGTTAGCTTATCCTACAGAATACCTGAACATAATTTCCTTCTTATTATCTTGGTAATAATGGAGTTAATTAAGTTTTTTTTTCGCATTATTGTTAATTTGATGTATGTTCGGGTTCGAATATTATCTCAAAACATGAGATAATGTTTTAATATGCTTATTTTTAGACCAGTCTAATATTTAAAATAACTATTTGAATGTCATTCTAAAATAATTAAAAGCTCTTATTCATCATTAATCATGAAAAAGCCAGTATTGATAGTGGATTTAATTGCCAAAAATCCAAAACTCTTATGGATTGTTAACGATCCAAAGACTGTAGAGTTCTTATCACAAATCAAGTCCTGTACTGTTTCTTAGAAAATCTAAAATCAGTACAAATTTTAAAGTTTAGGTTCCTAGATTAGACTCCATAAGGTAATCTTAAGGGGCCCATCCACAGTAGAACATGTTGGCCGAGCCGCTCGTCGAGCAAAAATTTCATTTGCCACCAACTAGTGCCAACATGCTTCCAAACATCATTTGCTGGTAAATCTTTGAGAAGTGAACATGGCAACGGACGACGCATATATCTTTTGAACCAAATAAGATAATAAATGTCAGCTTCGTCCCTTGGTTTCTTGGCGTTCATGTTGTCCAAATGAGCTACTGCCTTCTGCAGGAACTCGGATCCTTTTTGTGTGCCACAAAGATTGCTCATTTTGCAAGCAATAAATAAATTTTTGAATAAATTGTTTTGATATTTTACAGCTCCGGTACTACGTGTTGTCGCTACAAGCTTTTGCTTCAAGTGATGTTCGTGCCAACGTTGCCATCCATTGTCGAGCATGTTGTTGCGAACACAAGCTAGATAGAATGATTTCTATTTCGTTCGAGCGGCTCGACAAACACGAAATTTGTACACGAGCACTACCACTAACGATGAAAATTTCGTCGAGCTCAACATGCTCGGCCAACAAGTTCTACTGTGGATGAGCCCCTTTAGGCACATTGTACACGTTTGTAGGGATTCCCTAAGCTCAAGTAGTTACAAAGCAAAGATCGTCTAATCCTTAAAAAATCGTATAAAAAGATTTACCACCAAAAATGGCGCCATCATCCAAAGATAACAATTCAGGCTAATCCCCAACTGATAAACAAGTGTGTCAAAGTTTTATGATCCCCGTCTGGGCAGCCATAAAGAAACCATCGACAACTGTCTTCCAAGAAGATAACCATTCGGATTCAAAGGTGGTCAAGATTTATTGGGGGGCCAGACATGTATAAATCACACTTTATCCGTAGATGGGGTTGTACTTCTCGTACAGGGCGATGTAGGCGGCCTTGGCGGCGTCCACGGAGGTGCCCTTACGGCTCAGCCAGGCATCGTACTTGGCGGCGCCCTCGGCATCGGCGGGCTTCTCGATGGAGATGTCGCCCTCGTGGATCTGCTTGTACAGACCGTAGAACTCCAGGTACACCTCCGTTGGGGGCTTCTTGCTGAAGGCCTTGGTCTTCTCCAGAATTGCGTTGAACTGCGGAAGGGTTAAAGATCGACAGAGTTAGTCCCGTATCGCAATGACAACGATCCTCAACTTACATCCGCCATGTTGCTCGCTTGACAAATGTGCCGATTGTTGCCCGGTGCACCGGCTTTATACCGCCCGGAAATCGGGGAATTATAGTGAACAAGCCTTATCGTTGGATGGGAATCGATAACAATGGCCGCTGCAGGCCGATAATGCGAGAGTCCATTGTGCGAATTTGAAAGATTAGATTTATGCGAGAGTTTCGTAAGAGTCCAGGTTTTCGCCCAGTCTGTGGAGCACCTAAAATCATGGTCGTATCACCGTTTGTCATGGAGTTTCTCGGATCACTAGAAAGTGGTCAGCCCCGCCTCTCGTCGCCTGTTTTCAGATAACTTATCGGAATATAATATACATAGTATATAGTGCTGCTAGGCGTGCGTCTGTCATCGATAAGGTGGGACTAATCATTTATGAGCCCTCTCTACAAGTCAGCCTGATAGGGGACTATCTCGGGAGAAAGAAAGAAAGAAGTGAAGAAAGTCTTTCGATCTTGGAGACTTAAGGTTTCTTCTTCTTCCCCAGATCATCGAGTGTGGACCAGGAGCTTAAGAAGTCGGAGCCCAAGAAGTCAGAGAACGAACTGCACTGGGAGGAGCTGGTGAGGAATATGACCCGCCCCCTGAATCTCTGCGATTTGGACTTCACGGATCTCAGGGATGACGACGAGAAGGATGTGCTGGCACCAAGGGGACTCGGAGCCGGCATCCCTCCGCCGCCACCGCCTCTGGGAGGAGCCATTGCCCCGCCGCCCATGATGCCGCCCAGTCTGGCACCGCCGCCCATGTTTGGCTACGGAGGCAGCCTCACGAACAGTGTCAATAGTTCGCTTAATGGCTCCGTCAACGGGGAGCTGGTCAACGGGAACAACACCATCAAAAAGAACAAGAAGACGGTTTGTGTTTATAAATATTAGAATTTAAAAATTAAAATTTTATTCACACTTAATTTTCTATCCGCAGGTCAAGCTCTTCTGGAAGGAAGTGCGCGAGGACATGATACCGCAGGTGGTGGGCAAGACCATTTGGGACGAGCTGCCCGATGCCAACGTGGACACCCAGAAGCTCGAGCATCTCTTTGAGTCTCGGGCCAAAGACTTGATGACCAAGGTGCGTAATTATATATTAATATAACCCTAGATATAACCCCAATTGGTCGACGGTTTTCGAAATTCAAGGACTCTGCGCTAAGCGTGATTAAACTAGATATAGTGTCTCCTTTAAGTGTTTAACACAATGCGAATGATTTTTGTATTCTTCTTTCCCCTATATCTATGGATTCTTGTATAATTCCTAATACATAAATGTCGAACGGGCTGTTTTTGCGGATAAATCTACATAAATGTTGTGCTAAACTCAAAATCAAATGAAAATAATTCTCAAATATTCAAATGTTTCCAAATGTCTCTAGGAGGTGAGTGCCATTGAAAAAGTTATTAAGTTTCTCGTCCCCTTGTCTGTATTTTTCTCACTATCTCTCTGCATATATATGTCTCACTATAACTCACGATCTGTAGCCCATAATGTCTTGTGTTTTTTTGTGTTGGTTTTTACACACTCTCTCACACGATCTCAAGTTAACCGAACAGAACAGAACAGAACAGAACCCTCTACAAATCCGCACTTTGCACTCTGCACTCTGCACTCTACTCGTTCACTCTCTGCACCACTGTGTTTTATCTCTGACCGATCGAACCCTGATCGAATACCGCTAACTTTGCCCCGCCGATCTTGCAGAAACAACAAGAGCTGAACAAGAGCAAGGAGATCATCGTGCTCGACCACAAGCGCTCCAATGCCATCAACATTGCGATCACCAAGCTCCCTCCGCCGCGGGCCATCAAGGCGGCCATCCTAAAGATGGACGCCACCGTGGTGACCCGCGAGGGCATCGACAAGCTGCTCAACATGCTGCCCACGGACGAGGAGCGCGGCAAAATCCAGGAGGCGCAGCTGTCCAATCCGGAGCTGCCGCTGGGCAGCGCCGAGCAGTTCCTGCTCACCCTGGCCTCCATTTCGGAGCTGGGGGCGCGCCTGAAGCTGTGGGCCTTCCGCCTGGACTTTGACAACAGCGAGGTGGGTTTTCCATATGATTAGCTACTTATAATTATCAAGTTACTTAACCAATTTCTCCTCACCTGCACAGCGTGAAATTGCTGAACCACTGATGGACCTCAAGCAAGGCATTGAGATCCTGCGTCAGAACCGCACCTTCCGCTCCATCCTCTCCACCCTGCTGTCTGTGGGCATCTTCCTGAACGGAGCTCCGGTGAAGGGATTCCAGATCGAGTACCTGGCCAAGGTGCCCGAGGTGAAGGACACGGTGCACAAGCACTCGCTGCTGCACCACCTCTGTCACATGGTCATGGAGTCGAGCAGCGACACAAGCGATCTCTACTCGGAGATCGGGCCCATTACGCGCGCCTCCAAGGCGGACTTCACCGACCTCGCCCACAATCTCAACCAGCTGGAGGCGGAGTGCAAGGCCTCCTGGGATCGCCTGAAGCTGATAGCCAAGCACGACTGCCCGCCACCGTTGAAGCAGAAGCTGGTGGACTTCCTGGCCGACTGTGCCGAGCGCATCATCATCCTGCAGATCGTCCACCGGCGTGTGATGAACCGCTACCGGAAGTTCCTTCTGTGGCTCGGAATGCCGCAGCACAGTGTGGCAGAGTCTCGCCCAAATGAGTTCTGCCGGACTCTGTCCGAGTTTGCCTTGGAGTATCGCACCACGCGGGAGCGGGTGCAGCAGCAGCTAGAGAAGAAGGCCAACCACCGCGAGAGGAACAAGACACGCGGCAAGCTGATCATTGACATGGCCAAGTTCAAGACCAAAGAGGATGTGGCCGACGCCGAGTTGAAGTGAGTTTCGGGTACAGATGTTACTGTTAAATTGCTTGCCAAAATCTAAATATTTGGGTGGTTAACATATTGTTTTTGTGTAGGGAAATCCTTTTTAACAGGAATGGCTTTTTTTAATATTTTGATATATGAACTATGACTTTTTAAGAAATACCCAAAAGTTCTTTCCCAAATTCAAATTTATTATATTATCAGTTAAAAGCAGTTTCTTGAGTATATTATCTTTATAACCTATTGATAAGACTTTATTGTTGTAGAATACAATGTGATAAACAATTGAAAATAATTTTATTATGGGGAGATACCTCAGAGTTATCTAATTCAAAATTATTGACCTTAACAAAGCCAATTAATCACTTAAAACTTTTTTTAAGTATCATGCTGATTTCTCAAAGATAAGAAGCCAACTTTGTTGCCAACCTATCTAAATGTTTATTAAATGATACTCCTTCCTACTTCAGATCACTTCTGGGCACACCCAGTGCAGATCAGGCTGATGGCACTCTCACCTGGCGCCGACGTCGCGCGGAACAGCTCCGCTCGCCGATTGCCCGCCAGAGCGAGGAGCAATTCACCGACGGGGATGACGAGATACTGGAATCTCTGGTCAAGACCGCCACCAAGGCGCCGGGCACCCGCACCACGCCAAGGGAACGGAAGCGGACGCGACACGCGGATCGCAAATCATGTAAGTTGAGGCAGCCACATCTCAAAATTTACATCGAGATCAAAGTCCATTACTCCGACCAGTGAGAATACGTTTTAATGAAGAGGTGTTGGTCTATCTTTTCGAATCACACACAGCGCGCTATGTCTATAACCTCTAGCTGGACACTACCAGAAACCAGAAACATACACAGAACACCGCCAATAATTCCACAAGAGACACAATCAAATGAACTTACGAGATTTCTTGATTTCTTTCCCCACACAAAATTCCAAATTCCAAATTCCAAAATTACACTGAAAAACCTTGCAGTTTTTTGCCCCTCGATTTCTCAGCTTTTTTGTGACCCCCTTAGTTTTGCCTTACGAAGCTTACGAATCTGTTGCCTATATTGGGTTTTAATTTAATTTCCTTTTCGTTCTTTTACCATTAACGCACCAATCCAACCAATAAAAAATATAAACAAACCCAACAATCTGAACTATTGACTATTGAAGTGAAGCGCAGCCGCACGCGCGAAGGATTCACAGTTGAAAGAGCACCATCGCCGTAGAACCCGATACCGTTACCGATACCGATACCGATACTGTTACCGATACCGTAACCATTAGTGTTAACCGTAGCCGTAACCGTTGCCAAAAGAACAGCCACTGTTTTTTAGGTTTTACCTTTTTGGTTAGTGAATTGAATTGAGTTGATTTTTTACCTTGTTATATATATTCCTTTGTTCCAACTTTCTTTTGGCTGAAACTGTTATTCAGCTTTTGTTTTTTCGGGCTACCGATTTTCAGTTTCGATTAAGTTTTATTTATCGAGTATCAAAATTGATCGAAAGTGGAAATCCTATTTTGATGAAGATCTGGTTTTTATGCATGGGAAAAATGGATCTAAACCTAATACCGATTTGTAAATATATATAAACTTTTGTAGCACGTTTCTAACGGATTTTCAAAAATATCTGCCACTAATTTGACCTGCATGACCCAAACATCTAACACGGCATGTTGGCCACATACTAAATTATATTTGTCATATCCTTTTATAAATTTTAAAATAATATTATACATTCATATTTTACAGTGCGTCGCACGCTGAAAAACGGTCTGACCGACGAGGAGAAACAGCACGTGGCTGCCTTGATACAAACCTATTAGGATTAGGATTAGGATTAGGAGAGTATTTCCCCCCTAGAGAACCCCGCATCCCGCATCGCACCCGAGATAATGATAACCCGATCCCAGTGACGTCACAAGTCGGGCAATGCGCGCACAGACTGAAATTGGCGATCTCAGGCGAGCAAGCGAACCCAGAGCCCAAAATCCAGAAAATCCCTTTTATACGACAAGCAAGCAATCAGCAAAGCAAGATCAACGAAAATGTCCTTAATGAAAAGCGTTTTTCACAGTGTTTTTTTCTGTTATTTAAACTATTTTTGTTTTTGCTTCAGATAAGTATTATTAATTAAACGTAATTCAATAAACCTGTATTAGTAGTTGGAAAACGATTTTAATATTAGAATTTCATTCGAGAGAAAAATTTCGATATCCCAATGACCCGTCGTTAAATTTGTACCAAAACACTCGACACGATATTGTGTGTTTCTAAATTAACTTTAATCTAAAAGCTATGTCTAACTTAATTACGAAAATCAATAAATAAAACATATTTATTACATACGAAAACTGTGCGCGTTTTGCAGGCGATTTTACCAGCGCGCTCATGTGATATTTTTCCAGCGATTTAAAACGCGTTTGCTTGCTATTGAATTTTGAAGCATGCTTTTAGGCACCAGGCTAATATCCACTTGTGCAAGGTTGCTGGACATAATCAAGGCAAAAGCCTCGATTATCGATGTCATTGGGGGCCTCCACGCCGTCTGTGTGAAAGTAAAGACGGAAGGGACGAACGCTGGCTGTGAAGGGAATACAAAATTATATAAAAAAGATTATAATCATCTAGAAAATGTTGGTATTCTCACATTGCACCGTTCTGGCCAGCATTCCGGCTTCGGCACTGAACGTTCCACCGCAGACGCGATCCTCGCAGCCCGGCAGCGGCGGAATCCTGTCCGCCGACCGAATGCACCCAATCAGCAGCCAGTCGCTCACACAGCCGTTGGGATTGGGTGGCACTGTTCCTCCGCCGCCGACCATAGTGGGCACAGGATTGTTCGAGTTACCGGAAAGCGTAAAGGCCCTTGACCGGTTATTTTCCAAATCCGGACAAGTATTATATTGGATACCACAGAAGTTGCGCTCGTTGCGGATGCAGATGCTGTAGTCCTGGTTGGAGAGCTGCCTCCCGGCCACCGTATTGTAGTTGAAGCTCCTCACGCGCCCACTGATGGCTGTGTAGTACTGCAGGCAGCCCTGATCCGCCCGACTGATGCTTCCGCAATGGATCTGGGTGACGCGGATGCGCCAGAGACGCGGGAAGCTGCCACTGGTGATGACCGACAGCACGATCGGATTGCTCTGGCCCAGACCCGCGTCAATGTACACTGCGGAAGACACAAAAGGTTGGCATTGGAAAGTGAGAGCGTTTTGTTAGCAACACGGATCATAAATTGTCTTTTGTTCTTTTGTTGGGAGTTCATAAGATTTCTATCGGCATTATAAAAGCTATTTAATGAATTGTAAATTGTAAAGTTCTTTAATTATGATCACAACAAAGAAATCGGGGAACAAATATATAATTGCTTCACAAAAACGGTTCTTAATTTACATCGGATCTAATCAAATTGCGGGAAAGTGAAAGTGAAGTATTTTATACTTAATTTTTTAAATTTCAAAACAAACTCTTATATAAGTAAACTTTTTAAATATATCTTCTATATATTCTAAGATATTTAAATATTAAATACAAACTCACTGTGATCTCCCGTTGAGCTGCCACAAATCGTTGGTGTGGGACTGCCGCCCGAAATGAGTAACTGATCCTGATTGCACAGATGATTGGCTGCCTCAGGAGGCGCTATCGAGAACATATCCAAGTCCAGGCGCAGCTGACAGATATCCGGGTGGAGCTTCTGGACCGTCACCTGGCAGCTTCCGGTGCCGTCGTAGACATCCGGATGATTGGGATTCACAAAGTACGTGGAGTTCTCGCGTATCACACCGCCACAAGTCTGCAGAACTGAGGGTGGGGGAGTTGTAGATGTTATATTTTCCACAAACTCTCCACTGATAACTCACAGATGCAGCAGACGCCGTAGCCGCCGCCACAGGGACCCGCTGGAATGCCGTTCCGCAGCACGCAGTCCTTGCTGGGAATGCAGTTTCCCTGCTCACCCGATGGCGCTGAACAGCTGCCAGGACCGATGGGAACCAGGGCGAAAATGGGCAGGACTGAAGGGAGTAATTTAATAATATTTCTCTCGATTTAAAACACTATCTTTGCTATTGCTCGAACCCACACTTAGCTTCCCTCAGACGCGGGGCAGGAGTCAGCCACTTGCTGCCAAAAATCAGGTCCCGCCAACCTCTCGAAGCCGTCTGCTTGTGCACCTTGCAGGTGGCCAGGACCAAGAGGCCAAGAAGCAAGGCTAGTTGCAGATGCAGCAGCATCATGGTTGATGGTAATCCACAGGGAGATCGGAGCTAAAAATTGTATTGAATCCGCACGCAGATCCACTCGCGTTGATTTGTGACTTTGTTATGGCAGGCAGCGCTTGCGAGGGCGACAATTTATTTCACTTGGCGTGGCAAAAAGTTTAATGACCGCAATTTGTTCAACGCTTTTCGCTTTTTAGTTTTAGTAAGCCCAGCTGAATTTAGCTGAATATTAATTACAATAACAAAACGCAACTGCGACAACAATTAGATGCGCCACAATCAGCCGGGTGCACTGCTAGAAATAAGTGAAAAGTAGATTTTATACTTTTCTATAAAGTATGAGAGGTTTTCCTTTAAAAATTTATATTATGTTTAAGAAATACAGAAAACTTGTTTTCAATTTTAATTAAATATTATAAGAAGGGTCTTTGTAGATTTAATATTTTTGATTGTTATTTATTTAGGTTTCATTTACAGACACCAACTAATAAAACACTTCTTTAAGTTTGTTATTTCTATGCACATGCCTCAAATATTTTTTTAATATAATATTTAGCTCTTTCTTATAACTCTAAAATTAATTCTGAGCCATTTCTCTAAGTGCACTTGCCTGGGATGTGTAGATTTGTCAGATTTGTTGACTGTTTTCGATGGGAGGCGGTCCCATCTCTGCGCTCTTGCCTTTCACGTTTGCTTCCTGTTGCGAATTTGTTTTCCACACCTCTGTGCCGACCATTAAATGTGGAGCAACTCCTCGCCAGGTCGAAAACTCGAGCATGAAAGTGCCGGGGCATTTTGTTTACGGCATCAGTCGTACGCAGCAGGGGCAATCACGGTAAATGCTGCCACCGCATATACCCATTAGCATTCGGAATTTTTATGGCTGCTTCCTCCTACACACAGCACTTTGACGTCATTGCTTCACATGTCTAATTTGATTACACACACCTCCAGCGTAATTGGGTCAATGTCAATTAAATTGCTTAATTCAATTAGGGTTTTATTTAAAATTGATGAAGTTACCTCACTATGCTGCATCAGAATATATTTGTTTTATTTTTTCGGCGGGCAAAAGAACTGACCTTCGCAACAGAATTTGCGTAGCTTTTGGCCCTGGTAAGGCGAGGAGATGTGGCCAAAACAACGATAAGCTCTTAGCTGGAAGGTCGTAACATGAAATATATGGCCGCAGCTCTTCAAGGCTGCCATTTCCGTGGAAAACTATTCCGAAAATAAGTAAGAGTAATTCGCAAATAATAAATTATGCGGGCATGACTAATAAACAAACTGTGAAGGATAATTAGTTAGAGCAAAGAGTAAAGAGTGGAGAGCTTAGATTATTGTAAATTAAGACAAATATTTACTTTGCTGAAGTCATAGGAAACAAAGGTCATGGCAAACAAGGAAAAAGCAAATAAATGCCTTAAATAAAATAATCAATTACGAAAGTTTATATAAATTTATTAATTAGATTAAATATTAAAAGCGTTTTGTAACCTATAGTAAAACATAATAATGTACGCAAAATGTTTAATAATAAAGAAAAGAAAAGTTTAATTTATTATCGATTGTTACCTAAAGTAAAAGTAAGTAACTACCATCCCTTAGCTACTGTGAAAGCTCGGATAATAACAGTTAAGTATAATTGCTCACACAATTTAGTTAGCAAAACCATGAACACCATATCTTCAATGCTTGACACGCTACTGATAAGATATACAAAGCTGTGGATAAAGATAAGACTTCCCCTTTAAACACCCTGCAAAATTTATATTATTTAAATTGAAGTCGTCTGTTTTATTTTAGTTATTATAAAAAACTTTATTTATTCGGTAAATTTGATATTATACAATAAAGAAGAACCTCTCTTCCTTATGGAGCAGCCCTGTCGCACTCCACAGAGCCCGTGATCTCGCAGCTATCCACGCAGTACTTTCCGGAAGAGATCGAGCAGACCTTGTTATCCTTGCAATAGGTGACCTGATCCGTCAGAGTGGTGCCGTCGCACATCTGGAAAGTGGTGCGGCTGGTGCAGACGAAGAGGTTCGTGCCGTCGCAGGTTTCGCAGGATCCGTTGGCTCCGTCGGCAGGACAGGCGGGTGTCACGGCGTTTTCGTCCAAGCAAATGGCGGTATACTCGGTGCAGACTTTGCCTTCGCCGCACTTCAGGATCTGATTGGGCGCCACATTGGCGGAGCACATCCGGTAGTGGGTTTCGTTCAGGCAGGCCACATTGTTGGTTTGGCAGCTGTCGCATATTCCTAGCACCACCGCGGTCATGGAACTGAAGACCGCCAAGAGGCACTGGGAATGATACAGGTATAAGAATTATACTTTCCACTTAATTCTCAAATAAAAGTTCGAAGTATGCTCACCAGACTTCTCAGGATCTGGGACTGCTGCATAATGCTGGCTTTAACTTTGACTAACTGGAGTGCCGACCACGCATCACGCTTTTATATGAGCAGACTCTCCCCCGATCTCAGAGAAAAACATCAGATATCTTTGCTTTATTATAGGGTTAAGTTAGAAAATATATGAGCTCCCGTGCTACCCGAAGATTACCTCTTACTAGGAAGCCCCTTTTATGATCCGTCCGGCATTGAGAGATAAGTGTTATGGCCCCGAGATTGCCATAAAGATATGTCTCCCGTTGGGGCTTATAAAGCTGGGCGCTTGCTCCTTCGCGACTCATTAGAAAACTCGCAATGGAGGCGTTGAAACTTGTACTTCTGCTGGCGGCACTCTTGGTCCCAGGAAAACCCGTGGACGCCGTCTGCAATCAGTGTGTGGATGCGCACGCCTGCACTGCCGAAGGCCAGTTCCAGATATGCTACGATGGTGAGTTCTTGAAAATTGGTCAGCCAGATTCCCAAATTCAATTCACTTTCTCCAGGTGTCAGGGACCAGAATATCACGTACACCTGCCCGGAGGACAAGCCCATTTGCACGGAGTACAGCACCATTTGCATGCCGGACAGTACGGGAGTTCCTCGGGCATGTGGTGACGTTTCCCAGTGTGGCATTTGCACTGGATCAAGCATCTTTGCCTGCACTTCGCTGACCACCTTTGCTGTCTGCAGCGACGGTGCGCCTGTCGGGGATAACTTAAACTGCTCTGATGATTACGTATGCAGTGTAGAAGACGCAAGTTTAGGAGATCCCTGCATTACCCGTTGCCAAGTGGGTGATTCGGTTATATGCGATCGGGTTCTGGAAACGGATGATAACGATGTCACCACTGCCAGTACTGAGAGCTCCACAGAGAGTTCTTCAACCGTTACTTCCTCAGATACTTCACCTTCAACCATTACTACTGAGACATCGACGGGAACGTCCTCCACGGATACTTCTACGGATAGTACTTCGGAGAGTACCTCTGAAAGTACTTCGGACAGTACTTCTGAGAGTACTTCGGAGAGTACTTCGGAGAGTACTTCGGAGAGTACTTCGGATAGTACTTCGGAGAGTACCTCTGAAAGTACTTCGGAGAGTACTTCGGAGAGTACTTCGGAGAGTACTTCGGAAAGTACTTCGGAAAGTACTTCGGATAGCACTACGGATAGCACTACGGATAGTACTACTGCTAGTACAACAGCACCGACCTTCAATGAGGCCGTATACTGCCAAGACCTCAACTCTACGGGTCGTTATCCCATTCCCAATGACACAGCCTGCACGAAGTAAGTCTACCATTACACCTACTATATGTAACACTTCTTTAATCTAACTTGGACTTTACTTAATTTTTCCAGTTATATCTACTGCGTATTAAAAGCCACTGGCTATGTGGGATTACTGTACAACTGCACCGCAGATCGGCCCTATTTCAATGCGGATAACAACAATTGTGGAACCGTAAAACCAGCCCTGGCAGGTTGCACTAATTAAGCCTGTACTGTGTATTTTAAAGCATATACTCCCTTGTAACAAATATTATACATACATTAAAAGAAATCGAATTAATAGAGGCTGAGTTACTTTAATAATAAGATTCTTAAGGCCTTTATGGGACAATATTCACTTATTTATTCTGAATGTGAAGGTTAAACAATCACTTCCAGCTAATTATGGAATTATTTTGAATTCATAAGTAATGCTTTTTAAGTGGCCTCTTTGTCGCACTCAAAAGTGGACTGCAAGTTTAAGGCTACACAGCGGTCGACGCAGTATTTGCCCGAGCTCATGGAGCAGAAGGTGTCATCCTTGCACTTAATAATTTGTTCGCCCAGCTCTTTGCCATTGCAGGTCTGGAAGGTGGTCCTGCTAATGCAGACGAACGGCGAGGATCCATCGCAGGCGGGGCAATTCACCTCCGTACAAGAGGGTGGGGCTCCCTGTGGCATGCATATCCTTTGGTAAGCTGTACAGACCTGGCCATCGGGACATCCAATTACTTGATCTGGATCCACACCACTCGAGCAGAAGCTGAAGTGCGTCTCGTTCAAGCATTTGACATTGTTATCCTGGCAAGTATTGCACGTTGAAGCGGCCAGGACCACGCCGGACAGGCCACAGATGGCCAGCAAGAAGCACTAGACAATATTTGGAATTTAACGAGATATTTTAAAGGACTTTGGCTAAATTTTAGTTACCAGATTTCTTAAGAACTGGTAGTGCTGCATTATGCAGGTTCCGGCAATTGCAAGCTGACTGAAGCAGCTATCTAAAATGCACTTTTTAAATAAGCTTAAGTAGCAAACAGTTGGCAGAGGTTTAACTTTTAGATATATGAAGATTATAAAACAAGTAGCTGGAAAGTGCATCCGATGACCTCACTCTGTGATAATGTTTACATATTACTCCCGAGATAGTATTAATATATAAAAGGATGTTGATAATTTGTGTGACAGGATGTTTTATTAATTATTTCTTTATTATTTAATTCTTTTACACCCACACGTCTTTACTATTTGTTCGCTCGAATGACAGTGATCTCGCTGCCCGTAGGCAGCTCTCTTCAACCCCGAAAACCAGTAGCGACGCTCTCTGAGAGAGAGAGAGTAACCTGCTCTCTCAGAGAGCGTAACTCATCGAATCGTGTGCCCAGACCCCACTTATGGCAATTGGCCTGCTACATTTGTTTTCTTGTTATATAATATGCCTTCAATTTGGTTAACCCATTTCCTACCGTTAGCTGTCAATAACCTCAAGTCCTATTTAATATTTGTTTAGTGAATGTCTAAATACCAAATCGCAACTTTAAGAATTCGGCAAAGTACAGAGTTTAAGTAACTTTCTTGTCGCAAGTCGTTCCACCTGTTTGGAGACTGGTAATTAACGACTATGTCGACTCCTGGTCAATGCCCGCACCCACGTCTCAATCCACTTCGATGCAGCCTGCCGCCGAAAACCGCTAGAAACATTACCATCACGGGATGAGTGCCCATAAAACCGCAATCATGTGGAAAGCCAAGTCAAATAAAACAATTAGCAGGCGCGGAGAAAAGCAAAGAGTAGATAAACATTGGAGACCGAAATAGGCGTACCAAACCGGGAACAATCTTAGGCCAACTTTAGTAGCCGCAGAATCTTGACTGTGAGCAGTTCAGAGGAACTAGAAGTGAAATGGCCCAAAGGATGGAGTACTTAGTTAAAGGACTAGCAGTGGTAAAGGATATCCTTGATTTTTAACACAAATCTTTGACAAAAATTTGGATTAAGAAATATATAAATCAAGCCTGAAAATCTCTGAAGTAATCACTGTTACCATTTGAAATTCCATTTCAAATATGGAATACACTTTTTTAATTTTTTAAGGGTGCAGCTATAATTTCCAGGATAAAGATAAGATGAATAACTTTCAATTTAATATATCTAAATAGGAAATGTTGGCTTTCATAACTATGAAACCCAAAGCAAAGCTAAGTGGTGGAATTATCTCAACAAAATTAATTTTTTCAGGTTTTTCTGACCTTATTTGTGGTCCAAACAATGTCGGACTGCAATGTCTGTCAGTCGAATAAGGTAGCCTGCATAAACTCCACCTCCTTTTATCTCTGCTTTGGCGGTAAGTTTAAACTTTAAAGTTACTCCCCTACAAAAAAGAATTTAATATGGTTTTAATATTTTTCCAGATGCCACCCCTCATCGGGATCAGCTGTACCATTGCCTGGATGGCTTCGACTGCACAAATCTAACGGCCATATGTGTCCAGAAGAGCAGTCAGCGGCCTCCAAGCTGCGGTGACACCTCGCAGTGTGGCCAGTGCAGTGCCAGTAGCAACTACTTGTTCGCCTGCCAGAGCCGCGGCATCTTTCAGATGTGCTACGGAGCCACCAGGCCCGCTGGAAAGTTCGGCTACTGCCCCTCGGGCAAGGTTTGCGATGCCAGCAGCACCGCCATCTGTGTGGACGAGGAGAAAAGCCAAACCGTCACCTGTGACATCAGCGATGAGCTAGTGGACACCACCACTGCCTCCACAGCAGTAACCACTGAGAGCAGCACGGACTCCACTACTGATAGTAGCACAGAGAGCACCACTGAGGAGTCCACCACGGTGGCTGCTCTGACTCCCGCCCAGATGTGCTCTCAAAGGAAAGTGAGCGGGCTTTTTCCCACAATTCCCACGGATCCCTACTGTCAGCGGTGAGTCTTTCCTATTTAGCTAAAAAATTATACATTAGTTAAAGTGAGCAGATCTTCCCAACGTGATCTTTGTTATGGTTTTGTTTTGTGCGTGAATGGGCGTAATTTTCCACCGGTGAAGTTCCCCTTTAATAAATTTAATTCCATTATCTTTACAGCTACATTAGTTGCTACTTTAAAAATACCACGCTTATCAGATCTGAGGAATTCAACTGCCCGGAGAAATCCTTCTTCGTTTCCCAAACGCAGAGCTGCGTCTACGTGAATCCCGGCTACTGTATTCAGAGTTAACCCAAGAGAACCAAACAATAAACCTCAAAATACTCTGCCTCTGGCCAAGCTCTTTTAATCCAAGAGGATTCCGTTGAGGGTTAGGCTGGCCACCGTGGAAGAGCAGGTGGAGGGCAGGGCAGCGACACAGGTCCGGCTGGCGCTGTTGTAGTACAGGTTTCCCGGACAGGTGTACATCTGGCCGTTCCAGACACCGCTTAGCAGGAAACAGTAGATATACTGGTGGCATGTGGTGCTGGCCACCGTGCCCACCGGATAGTAGCCCTGGGCCTTCATTGCCTGGCAGTATGCGTCGGGATTGCTGGTTGTGGGGGCGACGGTCGTTGAAGTGGTGGAGCTCCCGCTGGTGGAGCAAGTCGAGGGCAAGGATGTTACGCACAGTCCCGAGGCACGGCTGAAGTACATGCTGCCCGGACAGGTGTAGGTCTTGCCGACCCAGCTGCCGCTGACCAGGGAGCAGGCGATGTACTGGCGACAGGTTGTAGAGGCGTCATTGCCCACCGCATAGTTTCCCTGCTTCTGGACTGCCTTGCAGTACGAGGAAGCAGAGCTGGTGGAAGGTGTGGAGGCTGTGGTTGCGGTGGTGCTAGTGGTGCTAGAGGTGGTGCTTGTGGTTGTGCCATCTGCATACGAACAGGTGGGCATCACCTAGAGAAAGAAAATTTATTTTTAAGAGTTTGAAAGCTAAAATATTTTAATAAGGCTAAATTAAGCTTGAGCTCAGCTTTGAATTTCCATATATTCTTTAATATTTATTTTTGGAAAACTTTTAATACTCAGGGAAATTGTTATGCAATCAATATATTCAAAGGTAAGAGTGCAATTATCACAATCATCTCCAGTAAACGTATCATATTTTCTGACATTTAATTTCCTCTCCGGAGCTTTCTCAGTTCTTATTTCTTTCAATTTCTTGTAGAACTTCCCTTTAGCAATAGCAAACTCTTCTTCATGACACACTCTATACCTTCAATAACCCGGAACTCACCCCATCCGCTGGCAGACCGCATATCTGGGTATCGTTGACGTTGCACACATAGCCCTCGGCGCAGGTGCCTGTCGAATCCTGCACGGTGGACGTACCCAGGCAGAGGGCGAAGCTGTCGGTTCCGGTGCAGGCGAACGTCTGGCTGGAGTCGCACTTGTTGCACTCCTGGCAGTCGGACGTGGCCTCCCCTTTCGGCTGGCAGAGCACCCCGCTGGATGCACTGACGCAGACATAGCCGTCGGGGCAGGCGGCGGGCGACGCGGTGGCCAGGACGCCCACTTGGCAGGCCTGCATCTGGGTCGCGGAGTAGCAGGTCAGGTTGTTGGCGGCATTGCACACGTTGCAGGTGCCGCGAATCGGGGACACCAGACAGGAGAGGACGAGGCCGAGGACGAGCGCCATGCCAAGTGGCAAGCAAATACGGTTAGGCGACATTTCTGGCTGCGATTGTCTTTCCACTGATGCTGGTGGCCAGCAGCCAGACGGCTTAAATAGTCTGTTATTTTTTTCGGCAGCTGTTTTGAAGAGTGCGCAGATTGCCCCTAATCCGTAAAGACCTCGGGCAGCGGGACCTTGTCGGCTGCTCCAATTTAGATAAGCTCCCGGTTTTCTGGCTGGGTCGTCGGGCTAAGCCTAGCATACTTTCCGGCGACTTTGGATTTTATTTCACTTGGCAGGGAAAAAATGCATCAGAGGCATTTGGCTTTAAGACATTCCCACACAATATGGGTTCTAAAAGGTAGTTTTTTTTAAATAATATACTATAATTTTGTATTCTCTATAACACATATTACCTATTTAATCAATAAATAGGTAGTAGTAGTAGTAATTTGGTCCCAAAAATTAGATTAAATATTCATACTATATATACTAAAGTTTAAATTTTAACATTTAGAAAACATTAGAAATCCATAAATGTAAGTAATAAATAAATCATATATAAAACATGTTGAAAAGCTTTTTCGCTGGCAATGAGAATGTTTTGTAAAACACTTTTCAAATATTTATATGGCTGTGTTATAATTTCAGTAGCAATTACGATAATGATAATCTTGACCAACTTTCTGGATAAGACGCGTACTAAATCTGTCTGCACAGTGGCGATAGCTGCAGTTGCTCTCGAAGATGCTTCGCCAGCTGCTGTGTCTGGGCATCCTGCTGGCCATTTTCTTCGTCTGCGGCTGGGCGGAGTGCAATACGTGCTCCTCGGACACCAAGGCGGCCTGTGTGTCCAGGACTCAGTACCAAAACTGCACGGACGACATTCCGACGGGACCCCTTTACACCTGTCCGAATAATACCAACTGCACGGGTTCCGCTGAACTGTGCACCTCGAATGAGGCCTTGGTCGCGTGTGTGGACTGCGGCAAGTGCAATGGCACCCAGCCGTTCACCTGTACGAGTCCCAGCAGCTTTGCTGTGTGTTTAGGTGTGAATGTGATGAGCACGGTGTACAGCTGCACCCAGGGACAGGTGTGCAACATCAACAATCCGATCATATGTGGAGCGTCCTTGAATGGCACGGGCGCCACCTGCTCGTATTATGATACTTCCACGGAAATTGAGAGCTTTTGCAGCCTGAAGGCCTCCACGGGTCGCTATGCATATCCCAATGACTCCAGCTGCCTCCGGTGAGTTTTCTGATTTTAGTTAATTTTAATAACTATCTAATGTGTTTTTTCTGAAGATATATCTACTGTGTTCGCAAGTCTACGGGCTGGACGGGAAATGTCTGGTTGTGTCCTTCCACCAAACCTTACTTTAATCCAAGCACTTTGGTCTGCAGTACAACCAAATATTCTTCTTGCATTTGATATATAAATTGTAAAAAATTATTTGCACTTTTCGATGCAATCTTATCTCTTGAGAAGCACAGCCTGTAAAATGAATAAATCTCACTTGTTTACAGTTTCGTACGTCATTATCTTTACGATTTCGCACTTCTGGCGTGATCTGTGAGCGGCAAGTAATAAAAATAAAAAGAGTAAGGGAAAGCACGTGATGTAAAAAATCAGACTGTTCATTTATCAAGAAACGTGGCATGATAATTTAGGAACATTTAATTAAATCTTTTCTAGACAAAAGAAAGAGATATTTCATTTCCTTTTATAACTATTTAAAGAATATACATGTGAACAATTTTCTAATACCCTTGAAGATTTTATAATTTTAGTCAGGAGTTCCTCCTTTCCGATCATATACAAAAAAAAAAAAACAACATCATTGTCACCCAGACATAAACATAATATAAAAATTCTAGCGAATATTGGATTAGCCTTCCCGACAAATAAAGATTTTTCACCAAAATGATCGAAATAGTAGTGCATTAGGGGAATTGATTAAAATGAATCTAGAAACCTAAAAAATATATAAAAATATAATTTAATGCCTAAAACTTAAGTAGACCAATGAATATTTACATTTTAAACTTTATGATAATTTTGCTAACACCTTTAGTTAATTAGCTTCCCATGAGTAAATGTACTTTAACTATTAAGTATACTTAATTCTACTCATTAAACCCATTGCATTTACAGCTCTTTGTTGGAAGGTCTAGTTTTCTAGTTTTCAGAGCGTGATAAGATAAATCCGAAGGCATAAAGTCAGCTGCCGAGCTGCAATATCGTTAGTTGGCCTCAAAGATGCTGCGTCTGCTGATCTGGCTGGGACTTGCTGTTGTGCTGGGGATATTTATCCAGGGCATTCGGTCGGACTGCAATGTCTGTTCTGGGGATAGCAACGTGGCCTGCGTCTCGAACACTGCCTTCCAGTTTTGTTCCGCCCAGGAGCTGCCAACGGGAGCCGTGTACAACTGTCCCACGGGATATTACTGCACGGCGAATGCTGCTATCTGCGATGCCAACGAAGGCTTGAGATCCTGCGTGGGCTGTGGCACCTGCAATGCGGACAACACTTTTGCTTGCACAAGCGCCACCACCTTTGCCTTGTGCCTGGGCAGCACTACGCCATCACAGATCGTGGGAAACTGCGGAACGAACTATGTCTGCGACTGGAACAATCCGAATATATGCGGCACCACCGCCACTGGATCTCAGGCCACGTGCCCGGGCAGCAATGACGGAGTTCCCGGAGTGGATCCCACTACCATGACACCCACGGAATACTGCGCCACCATCCAGCAGAGCGGAAGATTTCCCTATGGCATTGACCTGACAACCACCTGCAGGCAGTAAGTATAGAACTGGATCTCTAAGTAGCCTTTATTGAATATTTTACTTCACATTCCCAATAGGTACATCTACTGTCACGTGAATGCAAGTGTCTGGATCGGAGGTCTCTACGACTGTCCTGGCTTAACCTACTTCAACAGCACCTCCAGACTCTGCGGAACTGGGGTTCCCCCACGATGCACTTCCGGTGTGGCCACTTTGAGCCTAACAACCTAACAAACCTATAGATCTAAGCCTGCAACACCCGATTTTAATAAATTAAATGGAAGAAAAACTAATATAAAAGAAGTATTATATAAATAACCGAGTAATTCAATTAAATAAATGCTATGAGAAGTGTATCTTCGTATTTGACTTTAATAATCCTTAGTAGAAAACTTTTAGCTTTTAAACAAGTTTTAAGTTTACCTTGAATTATATTCCACAAAATGTGGTCCAATTATTAGGATCATGTTTGTAATACAAATGATATATTTTCTTTCTTAAGGCTTATTCAGTTTCTTAACTAAAAATTTGTATTCTTTTTTATACGGTTGTTAAAGCTGAATTCCTAGAAAATGGTATCCGAAACAGCATGTAAACGGTAATATAACCATTTTAGAGTAAATAAAGTTTATTATTTTTTAAAGGCTCCCAATTACCGCTGTTCGTTGACATTTCTTCTATCACATGACATAAAGAACAGTCAAGATTTATAAAAAATACTTTTATGTCCCCAAAGATTAGTAATCAGCTGGGAATAGTTGCACTTGGATAAGATAACCACGACTGAATAAATTCGGATGCAGGTCCGGAAATTCCCTCAGTTGAATTTGAAAATGCTGCGTCTGCTGATCTTCCTGGGAGTTGCAGTCCTGGGCTGCCAGGCTGTCTGCAATCAGTGCTCCACGACCACCCGAGTTTCCTGCGTATCGCCGACTGAGTTCCAGTTCTGCTCAGCGGATTTGCTGGCCATAGGTGACTTGTACACCTGTCCCAGTGGAACCTACTGCACGGAGGAATCTCCCTTTTGCAGCAGCGACTCCACCTCGATCGCCTGTCAGGGCTGCAATAAATGCAGCAGCGACAACAGATTCGCCTGCACCAGCAGGAACACCTTTGCCTTGTGCCTGGGAACCACCACGCCGAGTCCTTCGATTGGTGGAACTTGCGGTTCGAACCTTGTCTGCAACTTGGATAACCCTAATATTTGTGGCAGTCCCACAACGAACACCGTGACCTGCTCGGGATCAGACTCGGGAACCTGTGGAAGCACAACCATAACCAATGCCACCGAGTACTGTCAGTCCATCCAGGAAACGGGGCGTTTTCCCTATGGAAGAGTTACCTCAACCACCTGCAAGCAGTGAGTACATGGAGAATGCAGATACTGATAGAAAAGTCTTGTATAATAACAAATATTATTTTAGATACGTTTATTGCTATGTCTATGCTGGCGTGTTCTATGGCAACATCTACAGCTGCCCAGGATCCACATACTTTGACAGTACTTCTCACCTTTGCACCACCGCCACGCAGGCCAGGTGCTCGGATACGGTGTCCTGTTTAACTCTGAACGACCGACTGCTGTTGTAAAGTTATAATTAGTAAGACTATACAGTTAATATCTAAATAACAGCGATTATCACAGGGCACGGTGTGTCTTATGCAAATAAATTTAAGGCATTGTAAAAGTAAAGCGGTTTTATTGTCGATTCAACTGATAAACTCCCTTTTATTAATATTTATTTTAAAATTTTATTTAAACCCATATCGACCAGGAAGTTTTACAGCTAAAGGATAACTTAAAGAGCCATGCTTTAATAAAGATGTCACTGGCCATGTGGGTTTTGCACGCCTATTCGCATTCCATTTGCATTTCATCGACAGGAGATGGCTTAATGAACAAAGTGCAGCTCGAATCGATTTTTTTCTGCCATTCAACGCCAAGTACGTATATTTTTTCAACAGATGCTTCACAACCAATTCACAGAGCTGACCAGGCACACACACACTCTCCCCGTCGACAGGCCACAATGCGGTTTTATGACGTATACGCCGCGTTGGCACTTGCACCTTGAAACTTTTTCTGGCCCCGGAGCCACAACTTTGCAGAGAACTCGCATACAATTATGAAGTGTGTGCCCAGTAGCTTTAACGTCCGAAACTTTCCCGAGTTTTTCCCTTCTATATATACAATTTTTTTGGGTTACCCAGCCAGCAGCACACGACATGAAAAATCTTTCGCAGACATTCTGTGATTTTCTCTCCTCTTTTTCGTATTTTTGCGGGTTGATGTGGGTCAGTTACTTGGCCACATGGGTCGCAAAAGTTTGTGGCCTGGCGTGCCACCGAAAATTCAATTCGATCCCAAGGCTGAGCCGCAGAAGTTTCAGTTCATTCAGTGCTTTCGGTTTCAATGGTTTCGATTTCACACGCCCCTAAAAACCAGGTCCCGACCTTTTCCTACGTCCAAGGAAATTCAACCAAAACACGCACATAGTTTCGGCTTCTCTACGTGCACAATGTGCAATTGATTGCGCAGGGGGGAGCTCGGTGAATCCCGGTGCAATTCCGGGCCGGAATGGAGGTGGCCTGCACACTTTGATGGGCACGACTCCATGGGATTCGCTCCAGCTAGTTTTCCCTTAAAGCGAAAATTGAATGCTAAGAAAACCGCAAACTGAGCCAAAATCGGCGGTGAGAATTTAATTTTAGGCCTAGCCGCACATGTATATGTACATGCTATATATGCTATATATCTCTTGTCAGGGTGATAATCCCGCTGTAGGCGTCTGATTTTTTCGCTTCCTAAACGTTTTCATTGAGATTTATGACGCTAGGTAAATATAGATACGTTTGGAGGAAGGCAAATTATAGAATCACTTAAGTAAAATCCGCGATGACTAAAGATTATGAATAGCTTTTGAAAATAATATTTCTCGGTAGCATTGTTCAACCTCAAACGGATATAAATACTCAAATATATTCGTAACAGAGTGCTCTTATGAGATAATTCTACAGATAAATACCTTGTGGTCATAATTTACCAAAAAGCTAAAACAATACTCGTGTGCTTTTCCATTTGTTTTTCTCAGCAAATTAGTTTGCCTTTAAAGTTGGACACAGAATTAGCAATAAAATAGAAGGCAATATTAGCAAAATGTTATTATTTAACATCTGAACTAATAAAATATGGAGAATTTCTGAATATCTTTGTATTTCTTTAACGTAGGTTTTGATATAAAATACAATAAAATGAGAGACTTTCAAGGATAAAAGACTAGAAATTTAAGTAATTAATATTACTAAAGAGATATTCAAATTATATAAACTCGCTTTTAAAGCTTTAAAGCCTTTTGAAATGTTCTTAGAACCAATTTCTCTACTCAACTCTAATTCTTGAAAAGTTTTTCACATTTAATAAGACAAATACCGAGTTCCAACTTTTATTTTCGCCAAAAACTTTTGTCCACAAGCCAACAGATAATGCATATTTCATCAGCTCTGTAATCATGGCATTCATGTTCCCTTGGCATATGTGCCATGCTGAGTACTTTTTGCAGTTGTTCCTGCTCACTCATCAACGTCAAAAGTCAACAGACTCGGCGACTTTATCATCATTGGCGTGGTAGTTATGGCGAATATATAGTATACAGTGGTGGTTATCCGCGCGGCCGTCGAGCATAATGGGAGTGCACTTAGGCCAGATGAATTCATTAATTATTTTCCCTAATAGAAATGGGGGAGAACGAGGAAGTCTTACTAGACTAATTAAATTGTACGAGTTCGGGCGCAGTGCTGCGAAATTCGATGAATGCGTTGCGATCTTAAAGCCCTCACAGTAAAGTGTGGACCAAGTCTTGAGAGCCTACTCGAGGCGTTCTTTCACCTGTCCTTCGTTTTGTGTTTGCCAGCCAGCGCGTGTTGCAGTCGTCGCCGTGATTAGTTTTAGTTTTAGCCGGGGTTTTTAGCCCGGTTTAATGCCGCCAAGTCAACGAAACGAGCCAGCTGCGACAACAGAGCTCAGAAAGGCTCAGAGCCAAGAATCCTGCCAGAACCCCGTCGCCTTCGGGCCATTTGGAGCGTGCTTAGCCGCCGCCGACTGACATATGTATCTGTATCATCGCATCCGATGTGAGGATATTCCCCCCAACAATCTTAAAGCGCCAGATACGACCCCTTGATGGCCTCCCCCTGAAATAAGGCCAACTGCAGATGGACTTTAAATAGCAGAGAGCACCCGCGGTTCGCCCTGTGCTCGTAATGGAGCACCAAGAGAAAAAGTCCATGAACTCAAAGAACAAACTCATACTGATCTTGTAATAAAAATACAAGTTTACAGATTGATTGGAAAGTAAAACTACTTGTAATAATAATATTAAATACCCTAATAAAATGCAATCACTTTTTTCTCACAGTGCCTCTGTATTTGTAGTTGATACCGAAAGGGGCTGTGTGGGTGAACTACTATTTTCTTTATTAGAATGTTGGCTTATTTTATTTCCCCCTCGCAGAGCTGCTGTTGCCGCCGGCTCCCTTGGCTTTTAATTAAAGTTCTATTTTCATTTGTTGTTTCGGCAACTGCAGCATGGCGCCTCTCGGGCCTACGTCCTTGTGCCTCCTTTGCTTCGCCACCCATTCGATGCCACCCACTCCCAACGCCCACCTGCGGCGAACCCGCTGGCGACTGCAATTAATTTATTCCGTTCCTCAGCCGACGAGCAGGTTGCCCAAACAATTCCCAATGACCAGAGTCGCACATTACATTGTTTATCCATTAATTTCGGGTTAATTGGCTCAACTGCCAAATACATCGAACAATAGTTTTTGTTTATTTTCGAAGAACTTTGAAAATAGATTTTAATTTCTCGGAGGGCACTCAGCAGCAGTCGTTTTCCGGCAACTATAATGGGCAAATAAAAAAAAAATACTTGAACAGCCTTGAATGGATTCATCATTTATAAATAATTCTTACATAAGCCTTAGCAACCTTTTTAAAAAAATTTTACTATCACATTCCTATTTCAATATGTACTATCGATTTCCATTAGTGGCTCTTAGAATGTTTAAGCAATTATGTAATTTCTTAAACATGTCACATGTTGTGAATCCTGTCAAACAAACTCCTGGAAACTTTTTCCACTTCACCTGACGCTTTCGAATTTCCGAAAAGTATTTTAAATATTCAAAAATCGCTTCAAGTTCAAAGAACCGTTTAAACCGAAACAAACTTGGCCCCCGAACGTGACTAGCAATTATAAATATGCAAAGGCGTGCAAAAACCGCTCGATAGTTAATCCAGCCCGCCAAATACAAGAATGGCACCGGCACGTAAACAGGATACAACAACAATCCCAGCCCAACCCCACACACAGGTTGACAGTTCAAGTACACGAGCTTGTCGAACAATTTTGACATAGCCCAACACATAGCCGAGCGGATGCAGTGCGATGCGATGACGCTGTGAGGTGAGGTCAACGTGGCCGCAAACCCAAAGCCCTCCTCATGCATTATTATATAATGCGCCACTGTTGTGGGCGCCACCCACCGCAGATGTCGCCACCCACAACAATACGAGGAAACAGCACACTGTATACATGGGCAAGGAGCATGAGCAGGACCCACAGGAACAATTTCAAACTTAAGTTGAGCCATTTTTCAGAAAAATGTATGTGGCTTTAAAACAAAATTTTATATTTAAAAATTATTAAGTAAACAATTGGCTTATATGATACATTATGAAAATATATCCTTAGCAAACTAAAGAATAATTAAGAGTTTAAAAATATCGAAAGTCCGCCACAAATTGATTAATTTTACTTGGAAAAGTTATTATTTCTGAATAACTTACAACAAGTTCCTATAGAATTTCCCATAAGAACATCATAAATTATGCATATAGAAGCTGTTGAAGGTATCAAATCAATCGGGATACTTAATTTATGGAGACCCCTAAAGTATTTATATGGATCCTTGGTACAATTTCATATGCAACTTCCATCACTGCTTACAGGACGATGCGAGATGTTGGCCCATGAAGGCAAAAGCATGCCCGGCATCTGGCCCTGTGCAGGAAGGTAGATAGGAAGGAAGGATGGCTGTATGGCAAGCCCAGGATTCCGGACTGTAGGTGAGGTGGCGGGGACTACTGTGGGACCTCTGCTCTGCACTGGCTGCATAATGAAGCGCAGTGGCGAATACGTCACATGGCGTAAGCCATGAACTCCCGGCAAGGGAGCTGGGAGCTGTCAGCAGCCGGCATGACAGACTGCCGGGCTGACACACTGATGCCTCCCTTGACCCGCCCTGACTTACATTCATGAACCCGCAAACACACATTCATAAATAGTTGATGCAAATTTAAGTAAATCCCCTGAAATGGGACTCATTGGGCCTTATTGACATTTATTTAAATTTACCGATGGATTTTTTATTCGAATGTGATGACTGTTTCTGGCTTGTTTGCCAGAAATATGTTGTGTCTACTGATGACAATTATGATGGCAATAAATTAAAAAAATTTAAAAGATATAACCAATATTCCATTAACATCTTGGCCAAGAATAATGTCAATTTCTGCAGGCCTTCTTTTGAGCTTTATTGAAATATTCTGATGGAAATGGAAATGGACTGTTTTCCATATTTTTCACTTATGCTTGCAGAATATATTGATCTTCTTTAAAACGGTTTTTGATTTAAATGCAACTTTAGGAAGCATTTAAAGTAGAATCAAGCTTTAAT